GTGATCACTGATCCTTGCACCCGATTTCTCGCCCCGCCATCAAGACCGAGCCTGTCAACTTGAACGGGTCTTTAGGGGGGCTGAAAGGGAATTATGCAAGACACACACTCTTGAGATGCCTTCCGCGATCAGCAGTGATGAGTGGGATCTCCCGCGCTTGAAAGCCTCAATTGTCTTTGAGGTGAGGCTAACTATACCGATATGTTTCCCCAGTGGCTCAGAATGTTGTGTGTTGACCGATCACTGCTTCCCAGGACGATTACCAAAACTTAGCATCCGATGATCAAGATACCGGTGAGGCTATCTCGTAACGCATTGCCGCATTGCCAAGTGGGATTTTCTCTGACCTTTGCCGTTAGAGTTCTTTGATGTGAAATTTTACCCCTACTCGGACGTCACACACGATCCGGTCTTTGCCGCTGTGAGCAAAAAGCATGTTGTCATTTATCGCCTTTCCAGTAAGGCCAACCCCCCTTACGAGCTTGTCCAGCTTTTCAGGGATGACGACGTGAGTTTGCCACACCACCTGCATTAGATTTGCTTTCACTCACGATGTCATAGAAAGAAGCTTTGAATTGCAGCTGCACTTGGACTAAAGACCCCGAAACCGAAGTTCCCTATCTTTGTGTAGCTGGAAGGGACGCTAAAATTAAGGTCTACGATGTTGTTCAGGGGAAGTTAGTAAAGGTCGGTAAGTTGTCGATATCAGACTGTGAATATCATGGTTAACGTTTTATCCAGGTCCTTGTTGGTCATGGAGGAGTGAGTTTTGACAGTAGACTGAGAGTCCGAGAAACCAAGCTGACAATTTTTGGAGGAAATCAACGATCTTGCTACATGCCCTACCAACTTCCTTTTAATCGCATCTGCATCAGAAGATACCACTGTTCGGATATGGAGTCTCGACCCTGCACATTCTCAACAGCCATGCGTTTGCCTCCTTGCCGGAGAAGGTCATTCGTCAGGGTTATTGACCGTAGTAAGTATTCTCAATTGCCTTCGCAAACCTATTGGCTTTTACTCACAAACCAAAGGCATACCACAATAGTGGCCGATACATTTTATCCGCGGGCCACGACAATGTAATTTGCCTGGTAAGACGTCAATTCCCGCTCTATTAGCTCGAAGCACACTTTATTAACAGGTGGCAGTGGACACTTCCAGATTTACCTCCTGAATCAAATGGCAAAAATCCTTCAACGCCTATCGTAATTCATTATCCCCATTTCTTCACATCAGAGGTGCATAGTGGTATAGTAGATTGGTAAATCAACGCTCTGAATCATATAGTCGCAGAGCACTTTATTAACAATAGACTGCAGTGTGGCTTTCTTTGGCGATCTCATTCTCTCACGGGCATGCCACGAAGACATCATAGTTCTATGGCGAATTGAGGGGTTCTCATCCCACGATTCCCCGCCCGAGATGTCTGAGGCACCAACAACGAGTGATACAGAACGCCTAACTCGTTCTGCATTTGCTCCTGCAACAGCATCAGCCTGTCCACCTCAATATACTCGTCTGCTAGAATTCTGGACGCCGAACTGCGGCCACCAATTCTACCTCCGCTTTAAACTATTTCACGACAAGGATAAGCACCCAGTGCTAGCATTCGGCAACGCGAAGGCCACAATCTTCTTCTGGGATCTCGCGCGCTTAGGGGATTATCACAAATTCATCAGCGAAGTCCGAGATCCGGACCGCGATAAGGCCCAGCCGGTTTTGCGTCCGGGTTGGCTTACTTCAGGCCAGCATAGACATAAGGGTGATGCTGTCAGTAAGCTCAAGGATGCGGCTAGCGATAGGGAGTCAGTCGCATCGGGGCGCACCGGCAGCGTCGATGTCGAAACACAGTTGGATGCTAATACCAACTACCCCCAGGAGTCGTTAGAAAACTGGGAACTGAAATATGACATGACGCGTGTGGATGAGCCCGTACGAGCGCACGCTCAAAGCGGTATATCTGCTAAGGATTTCGTCGGACGGCAAGTAGCTTGGAGCGCTAGCGGCGAGTGGTGCGTCGTAGTAGGCAGCAAGAATCTCGCTGGCATCCTGCAGCGATGGTATAAGAAGGATCGCGTAGATGACAAGGAGAAGAAACTAGCTAAGACTACTCTGGCTGAAGGAAGCATTGAGCCTGCATAAGTCCGATGGCGCATAGGATATCTACACTAGATCGCACAATACCCATTACTTTAACACTGGTACTTTGCATACCACTATAATATTAGGCGATGGATTTCAATCAAATTTTCAATTTCCAAGCTCTAGTTATCGCACATCAAAATCTTGGTAATATCGAGAATAGTGTGTGCGGCATTTTGTACTAACTCCTATATCTCAACTAATTTAAAGGAATGACGATGTCGGTAATTCATTGATTCCCCTATTATACCCTCTTTATCCATTCCCCTAAACAAAAATGATTCTAGTAAACCATATATCAGAGTCTGACTGCGTCCTTCAACCTTTCGCGCCGCCTAGTCGCGGGATAGCCTTTCTTTCGGCCTCTAGTTGAGGCAGTAAGGTAGGTCGTCGATGTACTCGCACCAAGCATCAGGGCCGCAATCGCCGCCATCCTACAAATGATTAAAATTGCGAAAAAAGACTAAAGGATCGATATTACTTACAACATACCACCCCTCGACATCGCAGACGAGCCAGCCCGAGAAATCAGACTTGCAGGCGTATTCGGGGGGCGAGCACGGCTGGTACTCTATAGGGACCTCTCCTTCCTCGGGCTCGGGCTCCTCGTAATCCCCGCCTTCGTCTTCCTCCTCGTCTTCGCCTTCATCCTCGTCTTCGTCCTCGCCCTCGTCGTAGCTCCCGGACTCGTTGTAATCACCGGTTTCGTTGTAGCTGCCGGTGTAGTTTCCAGACACACCGGTGTAGTTGCTTGACAGGCCGGTGTAGTTACCAGACAGGTCGGTGGTGTTTCCGGTTACGCCGGTGTAGTTGCCGGCTAGAGCCGCCGTGACAAAGGCCATGACCGTGAGGAACTGCATCTTGAAGTTGGTAGAAGTGATGACGGGTAGGTGGAGAGGGTATTGGGAACTTGTTGATTAGTTTGAGGATGGTATTGTCGACATGAGAGAAGTTCTTAGACGTCTTTTCTTATATAGAAGGAGCCCCATACGAGCGGATTCTCGTAGCAATATGTGGTGAAGCAACCATCTGAGCGCCATTGAACGTTTATTCTCATCAAGGTTCACGATAGTTTAGATCGTTGTGGTCTATCGGGGGAAGTATGATCTCTTCCACCAGTATGGGTGAGGAAATCCAGTACCCAACTCTCGGGAAACGTATCTTGAGTTTTCGTACTCCGGAGGAACCGCTTCAGACTACGCGATTAGACCAGATGTATGATGGATCTCTTGCAAGAAATCCAGAGTGGTGAAACTTGGAAGGCGATTCTCAATCTGAGTGGCTAAGAATCATCAAGGTATTCGGACATGACTTCGGGGCACACCGGTGCGATCCAAGCTACCCTCAACGTAAGTCACGTTCTAGAAGGGAAGCTAAGGAATAGTTTCCATGTGGTGAGTATGCACTGACATCCAGTCCAGTCTGTTTGAGGAAGAAACTCGCAGTATGATTTATTCGAGATCTTCATAGGAAGTCCTCTAGGTAGAATTTTAGCAACAGGTCATAGAGCTGTCAAAGTAGGAAACGGCCGCGGCGTTTTGAGCACGGATTGGAAACGTCGTTAGCCTATATAGTATACTACGTGGACATGAATTATTCACGTCGTAAGCACGGGGGCTGCTATGACCCCTTGACGTGTTAGCGAACGGTCAGATACTGTCTAATATTAGTAGGACGCGCTTCTGTTTTGATGTTGGGTGATGGCTCAATTAGCAAAACTTTCGAGTCGGGACTAGTAATGACATTCCCGTTTGCCACTATGCCTCTCATACTGATAGCTTCCTAGCCTGTAACGCCCATTGCTAGAACAATTAGACCTTCATTGAGGCAAACTTCTGTAACTCTCCTCTGTTCTAGGTACGATTCATAATATAACGACTCGTTAGTGGGCGTTCGAAACAACCTATACGAGCTGAGTAACCCTAGCCGACAGGGTAATTCATGTTACCATTACTGTCTTGATATCATGAGATTTAGAAGTCGGAGACAGAGTTCCATCTAGATTCACAAGTGTAAGTGTATACGCGGGTACTTAGATGATACCTAGAGATTGCTGCCTAGTCTGAAAATGGCATCAGAATGCTTAATTCGAGACTGCTGGTGATTTAGTTATCAACCGCCTGAAGCCTCTAAATCACTAGGAAGAAGCATCCATGCCGATGATAATTCATATGGTTTTAAAAGCAATCAAATTTGGTCGATCATTGCTATATTTACCAGCAAACAAGCAAAGTAAACCGATACTATACTAGAATCAGAAAAAGTAAAGATAATATATCCGCTGAAGAAAAAAGCAAGTACCTAGTCAACGAGCTTGCTGCATGAGCAATATTTCGCGGAGATTTCTTTTCCAGAAACTTCTTTCGTCAACATTGAAAGTTCCCAAGCCCAGGTGTTTGCAGAAATACATCGTCATCCGCTTGCTTCCACTCTAACATTTCCTCGTCCGAATAGCCTCTAGTCTTCGTCGTCTAGACTCGTACTGTTTTAATTTCTTCGGACAGGCGGTATATAACACGGGACTCCTTATGCATACGATCGGACGTTCCACCGCCTTCACACTCCAGCCACAGTTTCGTTTTTGTGTTTATTCATTTAATTTCATTTCATCTGTCGTGTTCAGGGAAATAGACTGCGATAACTCGTCTCCGCACCTCTCGGTCCCGACGCTTCCATGCACGCACCCGGCTGGTTACGTGGGGGTTAGCAGACGCTTAGTGGTCAATTCTTGAGGGACTAGGACTTTGGGTGCGGGGTTATGCAGGTGTGGGTCGTAGTTTGGAAAACTTTATAAACCCCTCCAATTTGCGTCTCCTCATTCATCAACCGCGTTTTCAGTCGATATCAAAGCTGAGGGGCTTGTGGTTTAGTGGTATAATACTCCCTTAGCATTATTAGTCCAACTTGGATCTAATAATCGTGTGGGAGTGGTCCGGGGTTCGATTCCCCGCGAGTCCATCACTTGGAGGTTAAATTCCTCCTGTACCATCTTTTTTTTTGAATTTTTTGAGGGGTTTGCTAATTATTTTTTGTTTGGTGGTTAATAGAGTCTTCAAAAGTCTTTGAAGACTTCAATGTCCTCGTGATTGATTTTTGCGATTAGATAGCGCTTTCTACTCTGTAGGTACCTATAGTTACTATAGCGCTCTTTCCCCTGTTTTAAGGAGCCCCAAATAACCTTATGGATCATCGATGAATTTATTTTCGAGCTGATTCGCGGCTACCATCGCCTGTGTCACAGTTGCATGAAGCTGTCGGCAATGGTTAGTCTTAGTCTCAGGAATTATACCGAATACTTGGTAACCATAGTACCATAGGCTACGTTACAACTCGGGCGATGACAGCTCTCTTCTACCACGACAGGATTTGGTAGACAAGTAGCACGACGTTGCTCAAGGCTGTAGGTTTGCTAGACACGCTGTCGCTCATTGGTTCTTTGAAAAGGCGGACAAGCGTTTCTAAGGTCGATATGCTAGATGCATGTCTACTGTTTGCGAGTGCATCCTGAGAAATGGCTTGATTGTGGCATGATACCTTTCATAGTTAGTCTTTGGAAGAGATAACACACAAAGTGCAGGTCATAGGTAGTGTTCAGGCGTGCAAGAGTAGTCATGCGGTAGGCTAACCGAAGCTTCATAGTAACACGACAGTGGAATAGAGAATTGAATTCCCAAGTAAAAGGATTGACCGCCAATTCGAGTCGCAACAGCCAACACTCAGCTGGTGATATTCGACTTGAATGAGGGTCAATCTAAACATACATAGGCTGGCAGGCTTGTACGAGGCGTAGTAAGCGAAAATATGAAACGCCCGTTCATCTAGGATGCTGTTCGGCGATGAAGGGTAGAATTTACCTGCGCTCCTATCTATTTTCGTAGTGGCTTGCTGGCTCACTAACTGCATTCATATAATTTTTGGTAGTCTGAGTCTCATGATCTCAGCTCACTTGCGCCAACTTGAGTATTGAATAAACAGATGTGTGGATGGCTTTGAGTGAAGCAATATATCGTTTATTTTTCAGGCGATATCGCGAAGGATTAGACGTGGCGAGCTAACAGTCAAAGGGGATATGAATAGGATTTGAGTGGTGACTGAGGAAACACCTAGTAAATTACGAGTTTCAATGCGAGTGACGAGGTAATAAACAGACTCAATGAAAGTCGCACTGCGCAGCTTAGAATGGTGTAAACCAGAGCTGTTCTACACCGTTCTTACCTCCAGCTACTCAGTGGACAACTCTTTGTCAATGATGGATCTCTTTAATCGAAGAGATAAAAATAGAGTATTTACAAAACTAAGCGAAGCTTAAGGCAGTCGCGCGGCAAAGACATGTCGAACATCGAAGCGTCTACCGACAGAAGTGGAAGTTGAGATGCTGTTGTTTCAAGTTTCAAAAGCCCCGGTTCTACAGGGAAGAACACTGAGTTTAATGGCCAATCAGATCCCGCTATTCCCTTATTCCGTAGCAGCTAAAGATCATCGGCAAGGGACCCTTGGTGTTCCTGAACACCCCTGAAAATCTGAAAATCCATTCGACCATCTGGACCGTCGCGGTGATTTCTTCGACGACATGTCCTTCCCAATAGACACCGCATCTCTTCAGCGCCACAATCCGAGGAGCTGTTGTACAAATCATCGGCGTTCCTTGACCTGAATGATGGATTTTGGGCTATGGCTGTATACATGCCAAGGCAAATCCGGGGTCTTCCTTGCTCATTTCCCCCATAGAGAATCCGTCGTTCTCTATGCTTCTTGTTAGCTATAGCTAACCAAGACATGGCTATAGACGTCCATCGCCTTGTTGTGTTTGCGACTGCCAACTGCGACAGGGAATATCAAGTTTCCTATTCTGAATACCAATCAACTCGATACATTATGAAGGAAGAAATCTAGCCATTCTGTGTGCGCCCCATGACGATTTAGAGATCCATGATGGTGAATATAATGGTATTGTTTCTCTCTTACTCCCTCTGCCCTACACCTTACACCTTACGCCTTACAATGGACTTACGCAGATGAACGAACCCACGTCATAATCCATTCTTTCTTTGCTGTTTCTGTTTGTTCATTAGTGTTGATTGCTCTTTCGTTTTTTTTCCGCCTCATACTTGTTTCTTTCCTGGCGCACTGTGATCTTAGTGTGAATTCGAACAATCGTCACTCTCGTCCGTTGTTTGACTTGATACACATCACATCACTTGTAAAATATCGTCCTTCATTAACTACCTTCATTACCTATGACCTAAGAGTCGTCATCTCGTTACTGTTCTCTGCAGTAAATTGTAAATATCATTCATTTCTTCTACCTCCTAAAAGAGCGCTCATTACCTACATACCACCCAGTGTTCTTGTCTCGAAGCAAAACAACTCCAGAACACAAAATAAAACTTGCAATTTCCGGAAAATTCATACAAATCTAGATCGCTGCGCGATACCATTCTTTTTTGACCGCAAAGGCAAACATGCATATGAAACCTGTCCGTGCTGCGCTGGCGGCGGCAGCGGCAGCAGCAGCAGCAACCACGCTGCCAAAAGACATCAACATCAATGACATCTCATCCGTACGGAATGTCGCTGGTACGCTTGCCTGGGAACTGATGGCATGGTACACCGGAAATGTGACAAACACTCCAACTGTATGTATTGCCTCATCTCTAACATTGTCTAAATTGAGTCAGAGCTAACTTGTTGTCTGATAGACTATCGCTGTTTTCCCTGAGCCATATTGTAAGACTCAATAACCCACACCTGCTTCTTGTAATATGGAGTAATGCTAATCTTGGATACAGACTGGTGGGAAGCCGGCGCCGCTTGGGGTGCTATGCTAGATTACTCGCATTACACAGGCGACTCGAGTTACGATGCCGTTATTTCGCAGGCGCTATTATCGCAAGTCGGCCCCAAGTTTGATTTTATGGTCCCGGAACACTACGGATCGGAGGGGAATGACGATCAAGCTTTCTGGGCTTTTGCCATTCTGAACGCTGCCGAGCGTAACTTTCCACAGCCTGACGACAGTACCCCACCTTGGCTCGATATCGCAGTGAATATTTGGAACACTATGGTTGTGAGATGGAATACGACGAGCTGTGGTGGTGGTTTGCCGTGGCAGATCTTCGAGTCCAATCCGAATGGTATGGACTACAAGAACAGCGTCTCAAACGGCGGCTTCTTCCAGATATCGGCGCGATTGGCCCGGGCAACAGGAAACAACACGTACTTGGAATGGGCGCAAAAGGTGTGGGACTGGTCCGAATCCGTCGGATTCATCGACAGCAAATACAACGTGTACGACGGAGCTTCATCTAAGAACAACTGCGCCACGGTGAATAAGCTGTCATTTTCTTATGCCCAGGGTATATACATGTACGGCGCCGCCGTGCTATACAACTACACGGACGGTAACAAGACGTGGGGCGACCGCACGGCGGGCCTGCTGCTAGCCGCGGACTCGTACTTCAGCCCGTACCCGAATTCCACCAACATCATGTTCGAGCACGCCTGCGAACCGTACGAACTCTGTAACAACGACATGAAGTCCTTCAAAGGTTATCTGTCCCGATTCATGTGGGCCTCTACCCGTATGATGCCTTCGACACTGCTTCGCGTCCAGACCTTGCTCAACGTCTCGGCTGTTGCGGCCGCGAACGCATGCTCCGGCGGCGAGAATAAAACCGTGTGCGGTCAGAAGTGGTACGTCGGCGGTTTTGATGGCGTCACCGGATTGGGACAGCAATTGACGGCGCTGGAGACTGTGCAGGGTTTGCTCGCGCAGCATGTGACCGCGCCATTTAAGGCCGGCCAGATCAAGCATGTCAAGGGAGTCGTGAGTGCGTCGCCGTCTTCGTCATCTTCATCCTCCATGGTTGCGACGGCGACGGCTTCATCGACTGTCTTACCCCCAACTTCTGCGTCCTCTACCGCAACTCCTTCGCTTACAGCTACGCCTAATGCTTCGATAAAGTTGAGCGCAGCAGGTAGCTTGTATGCCGATTGGAGATTGACGGTACCGTTGCTTTTGGGGTCTGCTTTGATTATGAGATTTGCATAATGGATAATTAGGTTGGTTTTGCATGAGGGCGAGGGTGATAGGTGGGGTGGAGCATCGACATAGCAATTGGCGTTTGGGTCCCCTTCTAGCTTCTTTCCTGGAAGTTGGAGGAAGGGAGAGGGTTGAGTTGCTTCGTAGGATACCATAGGTATTTAGAATTCAGATTCGTTAGATATATCGATATATCATTGTATTCCTGTACCACCAAAGTCTTGATCCTAAACACACGTCCCGCTTCGCAAAAGGCAAGCGTGTATAGTAAATTGTCATGACCCCTCTAGATCAGAAAATCCTCTGCGTAGTCCTCAATACGCCCCTCCCTGCTTCGCAAAGAGAGGAATAGCGTGAATAGAAAATGTGCCATCATGATATGAAGGAGTTTCGTAACAATCCATGTCAAAGGTTTCGACCTCCTAAAATTTATTCTCCGGGGTGGTGGTGGTGCACTATGATCGACGCTTCTATCTTCTTAGCATCCATTTTGTAAGACAGGTCAGAGTTGGTAGTCAGGGTTACTTACTAGTGTCCGGGGCAGCAGTACATACGCGGCCTCTTATAGTAGTTCATACAGTTTTCGTCCTTACATTGGGGTATTGCATGGCGGCCACCCGGATAGAGGTACGTATCGGGATCCATCGCGTGCAGCCACTCGTGGGTCGGGGTGTGTATAACCCTCCCCCTTTTAGCTGCTCTGGTTTTGTAGCAGATCATGATATCTCGTTGGTACTTGGTGATCAGACAAAATGGATAGTCGCACCCGTGAGGGTAATGTTTTAGATGGTCAACCCGGTGGCCGTTATATCCAAACCCGTAGTTCCGGTTCAGGAAATGGACGTGAGTGAAGCCACGGCCCCAGGGAATTTGGTGGTTATTGAATGGGTTTTCTGCACCTTCGGTAATCGATTTC